TTATTGTGAATGTGGTTATTACTGAAGAGAATCATCTAGTCCACACCCACATTCGATTTCTTAAGTTCGATTGAATGCTATTTTCTGTTTGTATAAAAAAAAAATATTTCGTTCTTGTCTTTCGAAATTGGCGCAAGTGTTTTCACTATCGCAATTCTGTCACGGAAAAAATTTTGACTAATCGTTCTTTTCGCTATATAACCCTTTCGCTGATAAGCAACGATAAGGGGTAATAATGTCAATGGATTGAAATGCATTATTGCACAATATGTATAGAATCAATTCAAAATAGTTACGTAATGAAATTCTACTCCTAATTTTGACATATATAATTCTCATACTAAAATACAAAGAATTTGTCAAAATACTTTTTTTCCGTCATAATTAATATCATAAAATTTGCATTATTTTTGCTTATTGACCTTTTTGTATCTATTTCATAGTTAAGTGTTTGTCAGAGACATTTTTTATTTTTCGCTTTGTAAGTATTAAATCTTTGAGTGTCACATTTTCTGGTTGTTGGATCGACTAGTTTAATTTTGGTGCATATTTAAAACATGTTATGTATTCTTCTTTTTAGAAAACAGAAAAATGCCTAAAGATCAAATTCGTTGTCTGAAAGACATTGTCCATGATTCATATATATATCTAATTCAGCATCATTATCATCAGAAAGTACTTGTCAACTAGATGGTTGTTGTATAATATTTGTTGATTGTTTAAAAAAGTCATGAATGTTTACAGAAGTTTACCAGAGCTGTTGATTCCAATGAAAATACACGAGCAATAAAATCATCATTCGCGATGATGAAAACAGAAGAAATGGAATTCTTGGGGAACATATTACAGTAGAAAACAATATTAATACTGAAAGTGTGTTGGATAATCGTAAAAATCATTTCGTTGATGAAAATGATTTTAATTCTTTTTTATGTGAAAATGGTGAAAAGAAAATCATCTTATCAAAAAATAAAACAAGTTTGTCGTTTGTGTGAAACAAAAGATGAAATTGACATTGACAATTTAATGGCTGAAAATGAACTGCTGTCATACTCTTTTAATTAATTAACGTTCTTTCATATATTTCTTATTCTTGGAATTATGTTACAGATGATTATAAATTAACTGAAGGTGTATATTGTTATTTATGTCTGGTTGTTTAATCATATGCATTCGATATAGTAGTGACAAAAAAAATGAAAAGTCGCTACTAATTTCGATTTTGCTTATAGTAATACTTATTTCTAAATTCATTCATTAACTGGTCGTTCAATAAAACAATTGTCAAATTATGATGAAGACGATGACGGTTTATTTTTATCTCATCTATCATTTTTTGTATTTAAATATGAAGTTCGTTTTCATGGTGTGGAACATATCATTTATATGAGACAAATTGAATTAAGTCTTAGTAAATGATCTGTTTTATGGATTGATGAAAACATAGCCGACCAAAATAGCAACAGCTGAAGTACTTAATCTTTGAAAAAATTGGATTAGAATTGAATACACGGCATGTCTGATGAGATATGAAACCAATACAAAATCAATATTTTCATGCCTCTAATTTGGAATACTTTTCTAGTTGCATTTCTAGAGTTTTTTGATTTTAAAAGAATAAACATATTATGGTATTCTGCATTTGTTTGAACCTAGTGTCGATTCCACCGTGAAAAGGTAACCCTTATTTTTCGTTAAATTTTTATGAGTTTTAATAAATTCTAAAATGAATGTTCAAAGAAAACGATGTCGAGAGAAAATATGACTTGTCCACGTAACGATCCACCTATTTAGGAGAAGTCAGAAAAATGCACAACTTATGCTCTCATAATATAATTTTTACGTTATCCGAAGGATGACGTAAAATGTTTTTTTCTTAATTCTGTTTTCGTAATCGTTATTAACTTTTTCTTTCATGAGAACAATAGTGAACTCTGTGAAGAAATAAACATTAATGAAAATATGACCTTTCTAAGAACGTGGCTCCGTTACCAAAAAGAGAGATTCCAACACGAGGTCTTTTTATTTTACAGATTTTCTTTCTTCCTTTCTAAAGCGCGTCATCTAAGCTATAGTTTCTCTATGGAAATTTGATAAAGTAACTTGAACAAATAGCAACTACAGTTATAATACAGCATAAACAAATTTTGCAGTTCAATATAATTTTTTTTAACGAAACAGAACTTTGCAATATTGTGTACCTTGATGATCATCAATATGCGACATTGCTTGAGACCTTAACTTTTAATTTTATTTCAAAGACAAACAATAACTACTGAAGATTAAACAGAGCAGAAGTATATCAATATAAATTAATACATGAAAATAAACCTAGAATAACGTATATGGATCAAAGTGAACTTAATATAGGTAGTAATAAGGTAGTAGGTATAGGTGGCACAGGCGTGGGTCTTCTCTTCACATCCAAATCCATATACTCATACTCACATTACACTAATGTATATGCTGTTAGAGTTCGAAATACATTCTAAATATTGTAGTTTAGAGATTTTAATTAGAATCCGATAGTCTATTTAGATTTCTGACAATAACAAGCATTTGACAGCCAAGATTCGGGTCAGCTTGATAAGGTCCATGTTTCATTCCAGGATTGCGCCATGCATGATATCCTTTACCAAATGTTTGACCAAGAGTAAGATCAATAATAGCACCTTCTAGAATGTAAACTTCCTCATGAAATGTGTGCGTTATGATATCACTACCACTTTTAAAACCACATGGCCATGTTTGTATACTAGTCTCTGGAGACAATTGTGTTATACAGATTTCATTCGATTCATGTAATGGAAATGATGGAAGGTGAGGTTGATAAAACTCGCGATCATTCATATAGATATTTTGCATGATTTGTTTTGATAGTAAACGATGATTCGTAATTATTATCTACTGTGAAAAACGGCGAAAAAAGAAAGCGTAAATACTAATGCCCTCCTTTTTAGTGAAAATAAATATGAAGATGAAACCAACAATGTATATAAAAAAAAAACGTGCAATGACAGGATAAGGAAAAGATAACACGAAGACATTTATTTGCTCTTCTTACAAACACCACCTGTTACATTTTAATTAGAGACACTTTTTGGAATGAGTGCTGGTGTGCGTTTGTCGAGCAAGGCAACATTCTGGAATCTGAAATAACAACTATTTGTTTTTGTATCTCTTATATAAATCTCTCTCATTCTTTCTCATCTGAGTTCGACTCTTTCTCAGCTACAATGAAGTCCATAGCACAGACGAAACTTGGTACCGTGTTTTCTTGTCTTATTATGTGATTCACCTAACTCGTTTTCCACTTTTATATATTGCCACTATCTGCTCGTTTCATTTTTCATTTTGTATAATTTGTTTTCTATTTCGTCTGTTTTACTCTCTATTCATTTTATTTTTTTCTTGGAATACCTTTTGTGTTGTATTTTTTTACTCTGATAAGAGGATGAATGGATATATCGAATTTCAACAAAACTTACATCCACACCAAGATCTAGAATATTCGTATTATAGATTTTGGTTGTTTTGGTATATCTTCATTACAAGAAATCCAATAGTGTCAAGTCAGGTTACTTTGAAATCTATGACGTGAACTCGTCTCTTTCAGCTGACTGATCGCCGAACCTTTTGTTGAGACAATAGCAAGCTATCAAAAGAAAATCCAGCATGTACAATGTTATACAGAGTCAGCTTCAAAAATTTTTTAATATACAGATCTGAATGTCTTTTATAAAGGTATTCGTATAGACTTTTGGCAATAAAAAATACCTTCTGACTTATATGAAGATGCTAACTTAGTGATCGTAAGTTCAGTTTCAATTTTGAGCGATGGCTAATATAAAATTTGGCTGTACTTGAAACACACCGATATTATATTAGATCTTTATGACTTAAAAATCTCTAATTTCCATATTGACTGACTTCGGATACAGTATGATATACTTTGAAAAAACGAAGTAATAATCACACTTTTCATGGACAGGTTGCTGATGTCTCAACGAAATGCTCGATAACCAGTGCACTGGAATAGATGAACTCATCTCATACACTTCATAGTAATCAGACTTGACACTATTGAATTTGTTGTCATGAGAATATATCAAAACAAAGTCTACAAAACGAAATTATATCAAAAATTGAAATTATTAAGTCGAACTGCTACATTAAGTTTTTTAGAAATATGTACAGAAAAGACGATTTTTTTCTTTTATGATTGAAGGTGTAGATGTGGGGTGTCTACTAGTAAGTGTGTGGATGCGTGTAAATATTTAAGTATGAATGTTGGTGTGGTTTTGTGAGTGTGGAAGTGAGTGTGAAGACTTCTACTCAGACATTCACTCATATGCGCAGCATGAACGAGCTGCTGGGTGACGATTTCATCTAGAATTAAGGTGTGGGTGCATTTGGGCGAATTGTATCAACCAACGTCGATTGCAACGTCCCTCTGGAAATTACAGGTTACAAATTAGAGATGGTTTGTCAAGTGAACTCTAGGAAGAGTCTTGACACACATCTATCAATGTTTGTTTATCATGTGGAAAGATCATAACTCTAGAGAAATCACGTTTATTTTTTACGTATATGCACACGAAACATATTCGTCATCTATTTATTACTTCCATTAAGGTTACGCGAGACAACAAGAAAACTTATTAGCCTGTAATCAAATATATAAGCCAAAATGTGAAAGCCAGAACTATTGCAACACAATGGTCGGCAATAGTTGTTGAAGGAGATTTATTCGACTGGAATAATCGGTCTTCGGCGATCTAAATATATTATAAAACCTTCGATAAACGATCATCTACGATATCTATAAATATACTAACATGCACAGTAATGGCCATGCCTCGAGACAAGTGTGGTTCCGTATGACAATGAAAAAGCCAAATACCAGGATTTGTCGCTCGAAAACGTATTCTCATATATCTGAATAAAAACAGTACAAGACGCTCATTCGAGAAGGTTTCCACTAATGTCGAACACGAATCTTACCCTCCTTTGGATAGCTGCACTGTATCCTTTACCAAACGCATATTGTTTTTCTTGCAAGCTTCAGTTGTTTCCGTGCATTTACATTCTGCATGTTCATTGCAGTCGACATTGGGATTGTTCGCAAGAAACTCACCAGTTGTTGGATTTAATGAAGCTAGACCTTGCTCAACAATATGAAAATAGGAACCGTGCAAATGGAGAGGATGTTGATCGTCATCATGATTGATAAGAAGAAATTCCACGATATCGTTATATCGAGCCATAACCGTATGATAGCATCTCTCACCCGTATCTTCGCCCAAAGAACGATTGGAACAGGCAAATTGTTCTCGAGCACGTTTAGCATCGTAGAGAATAGGTGTATCTATCGGTGGATATTGCATGCCTATGTAATTGAATGATTCAAAGGCGGCTCGTTCATCAGTGCCCTCAACCATGGTCATTTGAAGTGTTTTTCGGACGTTAGGCACTACTGTTTCATCCAAGAGACCACGATCAAGATGATCTTCATGAGTTGTTATATTGTGCGGAGTCAAACAAACGAGTGACATAGCGTTATCAACCTCTTTAGGACCATATTGAGTGAAAGGACAGTTCAGAATGAGACATGGCTGAGCTGTTGTACAGTTTCGTGGTTCCGTTGTTGGTATGGTCGTGACAGACGTGTACTTCAAAATTGCTTGAGCGTGCCATCGCGGATTGTTGTTTTTGTCCATTGTATCGACTCTAATCCAATAGTTCCTTGTTCTGTCTGTTGCAGCTTTGATTAAAATATCATATCGTTCTCCAACACCGATAATCACCTGATCAACTATTACTGGTTGTGCAAATGGTATACCATCGGATGCAATCACTGTTAATGGATGACCATCGATAGAGAATTTCAGTGAGAGTACACTGCCGCCATTGATCAAACGCAGGCGATAAGTGGCACTGCTGGATGCTGAAGCCATATTCAGATATTCGAATGGTGTTGTGCTCGAACTGTCATTCTGTGCACGTGGATCAAAATATCGACCACGTCCATTAATCAGGATTGAGGTGACCAATGCCTCAGCTGCTCGTGATCCATCGACAGCTTCGAAATAGTCAATATTACTTGCTTGTATCAAAGACTCCATACTATTTGGATAGAACTGACCACTATTCATGAGCAGATAGTGCTGCTCACTAGTGTAAAAATGTTGCCAATCATTGAGAACCAATACAAATTCGCCCTTTTCTTCTCGATTGGTTACTGTTCTTGGATGTACTATGAAACCACCTAACAGTCCCATAGTTGTTTGGCCATGAACGTGTGAATGATACCAGAAAGTACCCGTATCGAATGTAATAAACTCGTGCTGAAAACTGGAGCCCGGCACAATGGACAGCTGGGTGACTTGTCCAACTCCATCACTCTCAGGCGTATTCACTTGCCGAATGCCGTGAAAATGGACGCTGAGTGATTCCGTTGAAAAATCATTGTAGATACGTATGCGCACTTTTTGATTCTGATAAACATGCAGAACGGGGCCCGGTAAAGAATTATTAAAAACATACACCTAAGTGAAAGAATGACCATAATGTCGGAATATGATAAGGGAAAGAAAATCAAATGAATTATACGTACCAATTTCGGGTAGCCATCAGCTGTTAGAATATCAGTCATAGAAAATATTCGACTAGAATCAGCATAGTGATGCAGTGTTCCATTAGCGGTGGCCACGACTCGAAAGAGATTTTTATAGAACATGGTCATAGCTGCAGTTGCATGTATTTGGAAGGAACATGTCGACATCGATGCTGTACAAGAGCCATCGTGATTATACGGATCGAAGGGTTCCAATGCATGGCTTCTCTGGCTGATTAGTAATAAAATTATTGTGATGCACTGATGCAAGTCCATAGCGATTTTGAGAAGAAGTTAAGCAACTCTGATCTCAAAACAATATCACTACAAAGAAAATTATCATAGTTTTTGTATGTCATAGTGTATATATCACACACATTGTATGGCTATCTAAAGTCTAACATAGTCTATTCTCGAGATTAACTTCTTTGAAGTTATTTCTTATATGAACTAAAAAAGTCAATCTGACATGTGCATGGAAAAAATACAGACTAAGCAGGTCAAGCAAGCAGGCTTGTAAACGACTATAAATTGTGATATTTTGGTGCATAAATTGGGTTTGTATTACGTTTCATATTTCCTCGTGTTGTATACGAAGAAATACGATAGTTTATGAATAAAAATGAGATCATTTACTGATTCTTATACGAGCTCCATTTTAATCTGTATTTTGCTGTAAGAGGTCCTATTTCTTTGTAGACGATACGGAGAAATATGATCATATACAGTGAAATGTGAAGTGTATACCGTCGTTTTCGAGTCTATGTGAATTTTGTATACTTCATTCTGGGCTTGTCTTTGTCTCGTTCTTTTTATGATATACTCTTACCTTTTATCGATAATAAAAGTGCGATGATTATATAAATGACAGTGAAGTGCACAAAAAGTCAACAGCAGATAATAACAAAATAAATTTATCTTTACACAAGCTATTTTAAGAAACTACAATAACCTCCACAATTTGCTTTCAAAAATATGCAATCGTACAAATAGTGCATTCTTCTCGTCACAAACCACTGTGATAGGTTTAGATCAGTTTCATCGAGCAAAATATTTGCAATTTACGCGTTCGTATGGGTTTGGATATCAATGTACGTGAGGATGTGGATGTGTCGGTGTTGATGTGACCGTGGGTCTCCTCTTCAAATACACTCATACACACACACGCCAATATATTTCTCTGTTTATTATAATTAGACACATGTCTCTTTGTTTTTGGTCTCTTCTCTAATAGTTTTATTAGTAGATATTTCTTGGAGATAAAGAAAAGACACAAAAAACTTCACCAATCCTTTACAGATAACATATTGTTATACATATTTATGTTTAATTTAACGCAATAAGTCTATATACGCAGAAATTTCATCAATCAAATTTGAGCGTGAGTATAGCTCTTCTCTTCATCCGCAACCATGCCCTTCGATCAAATAGATGCACCATAAATGATGGTACTATTTTCATTTCATGTTTTTCTCGGTCAGCTTTCACTGTAGAAATTCGCACTTAATCTCAAAAGGTTTCCTTTACAACTATTAAAACGTCTAAAGCTTGTCTTTATCATCGTTCAAGACACTTAATAAAAGTTACAGAATACCATTTTCGATCGTTCTAGTCGTGCTCAACTTTTTCTATATTTGTTGTTGATAGTAATGTAGTTCACTATTATTGGTGGAAAAAAGAGGTATACTCTTCTTGTTGTTTGTTATCGTCCATCTCAACGCTTTACTGTAATGTAACACAAAGTGATAAGAAAAAAAAAACATTACAATCCGTTTCATTGAAGGCATTATCAGAAGACATGTTTGTTTTCTTTTCACTCGTATCTTTGAGAATTGTTTCACTTTGGCCTTGCATTTGTTGCTCGAAATTGATATAGTATGTAGATGATGGTATTGTGTTGCAAATTCGTCTAGTTTTATTGTTAGAATTAAATATATCATCGGATTTGATAAAGAAGTCATGTAACAAATGTACTATAGATACAGGAATTACCTGGTATGATGAATGTCAACAATCATTTTGCCCTTAACACATTAACGATTATTGTCAAAACGTTGGTGAACAGATAGATAAAATAGAAGAAAAAGATGAAGGTCATCTACAAAACTTCAATAAAGAAAGTGGTTTACATCCTATTTTTTGTTGCTTAGATAATTTCCCTTCAGGATATATATATATATAGACTATAACAAGTATTCTCACTGACGTTAATTTAAAACAAGGCTGAGTAAATCTCAGGTTCTGATAATATTAATCAATATTTCCAAATGTAGATACAAACGAATATATGACAGAACTACATTTTAAAGCACGAAACAACCGTTCAAATAATTTTCATATGATCCAAGTTGTGCAGATCTCATACTTTACTTGAAAGCTTAATTAAACAACAATGTTCTCCTAGCTATCGTCTACAAATTGTATAACAACAAGATCAGATTGAGTACTAACTATTTACGTTCCCAAACAATTGCAGCGTGGTGAATTGCTGTTTCTTTGTCATTACCAATTAAACATGGCTTATATTCTAAAAACAAGTATTAAATAAGACTAGCACTAAGCATCTTCTCCTGTTGCTGTAAGTGTGATTTTCAAAAACTAGAAATCAGCTGTCGAGCAGATTTTTTTTTTCGCCTAAATACTCTTATTCAGACAGCTTTAGTTATGTTGACTGGCACATCGTTCAGAATGATTCAGTAAGGTTGATTACGTCAGTATAATGATAGTTTTAATCTTGATCTTATAGAAATGAGTCTAGTGAGAAAATTCTATTCCAAAACAATA